AATTGTTGCCATGATATCAATCATTACTGGCAATACATCATAATAGAAAAATACTTACACCAAATAACGCATTTACCACCCGGTTTCAATGTGACCGCCCCAGACAGAATGGCCGCTTGCTAACGGTGATGGTTGCGTATCAGAACCCCGGTCATTGTATTCCCAAGACCTTGCTCACTAGGTTCGTCGCTGATGGTGGGACAACTTTGACGTTCGCGTTGGGGTCCGGAAGCCATTCGTTGACGTCAGAGCAATCCGTCAAAACCGTGGTAACGACTCTAGGATCGGCTATTTTGAGTCTGGTCGATAGTAAGCGTAGATCTCCCGCAGCCCCAGCGTTGTAGTTTGGTGCTGTGTTGTGTGACCTGATGGAGATCTATGAGGAAAGCGATTAGACTTAGCAGTACGGAACATGAAATGGCCCCATACCAGAATGTTGACTTGATCCGCACATCCTTTATAAATGATATTGAGCTCTTGCGATGTTTATAGAATCGTAGGATGAAAGTACCTAGCTGGTCTAATTGAGAGGGATTGTCTGCTGTATGACCACGTACGGGACGCCTGCTGAGATCCGGTTGACTACATTATGAGAAATGTAAGACATGAGGTCAAAATGAGGGCCAAGTCGCCTGCAGAAGTTAAAGACGGTAGACTTACAGGTCACCACCACCACCACCACTACCACCTGATCTCGCCTGTACTTCAGTATCCGATACAGTCAATGAACGGAAAGGTCTTTCCAAACGAGTCGCGCTATTGCAATGCCATTTGCGGTTAGAGGAGCCCAATGGGGGTAAACACGATGCGTACACGTACGTCTTGTATCCTAGATTCAAAGCTGGAGGGTCCTTGCCTGGTTCAATAATGGACTCAGGTTCGCTACAATAGGCGCTCTCCCCATATTCTAAGGGTGTGTCCTGATCGAGAGTCAAGCGGTTGTCACCGTCAATGTGTTGAAGCATATTGGTCAAATGTAAAACCATGATCGCCTGATTTTAGAATAACAGTTTTGCTACTGCGCGACCACATGCCGTGTGTTTTCCACGGAAAGCCGGGAGCGGGTGGACGTGCCGAGTCATATGACTCGCGGACTGGGGCGAACATGGTGGAGAGACCAAATAATCTTTGCCGCTCCTCCAAATGCTTTATATACCTTCAGGCGTTTATCCATCTCGGCTGATCAAAAATCTATGTGCGGCCGTCCGATATCCAGATGTGAAGGATTCCGCCGTTTTGTCGGCCGCATCGATCCGAAAATCGGCCCCTTAAACTAAGTACTGGCAAAGGCCGAGATCATTTTCATTCAAAAGACTCTAGTGCCAAGCAACATAGATTCTCGCGATGAGTGTCGATGAGCGCTCCAGAGCCATAGGGTTCAAGCGTCCAATGCCAGGTCGCGGTAGGCGACCTCACCTCAAGCGATAGACCTGTTGTGCTGCCAGATTCCTTGCGCATCACATTGACAACACTGTGGTCAAATACAAGGCAGACCTGTTATCTGCGATAGATGCCGATGGAGCCTCGAGAATGCAGAGCGTCGCCAATCTGGGATTGTTGGCGATTGCTCCTATTGTCGGCCGCCTTCACCGCCTAAATGCAATCCGGTACCTCTTGGAGCAATTCTGGATATGAGCGTATTCGATGAGCCTGGGTATAGTCAGTGCGGAAAATGCGATTCGCGAGATTGCCATCGCAACCCGCAACGTTAACGAGTCTCAATCACGGCAGAATGTTCATGCGCGTCGCATGTCAATATGCCAAGGTCCGCAGCTCCATTTCTCCGATTGCCTCTGCGTACGGTTGAATCGTACCAAAGGTATGGTCTTCTCTTCCAATGATAAGAGGTGGAAGGCTACGAATGGATGCACCACAGGTTGCGATGATCATATGCGGTCCCATACGTTGCCTTCTGGATGTGTTCCTCAATGATTAAACCCCGGCGTGATAGTCCTGGGTGGCGAGAAGTTGAACCGCCGGTGCCAGGGAATCCTGGAGCAGAGGAGGGAAAGGGCAAGACGAGATTAAGAGCAGGGGTCTGGTCTGTGTTGGAATGATATTCGAGGCTGCGGCGGTCAACCTGACTCGAACTCCGAATATGCAGTGCAGCACCTCTACTGTCTTGGTTCTACGTTCTGTTGGCGAATGCCTCTCAGTGGGATTGGCAGAGAGGATCCAGTCCCACCATTGGTTTGTCGAAGTGATATCAACCTGATTGACCTTGTTGATTCTCCTCCCTCTTGGTAAGTGTTCCATCGCTCGATGCGCCGCCCGACGCGGCATCCAAGGGCTAAGGGTGTCCATTCAAGCCCCTTAAGACAGGGAGGGTCGCAAGGAGTGAAAACATTCCTGTCGCGAACCTACATATTACTAATCATACCGTCAGACAAGAATCGCAATTGCTAAATAGCTGTGAGGGGAGCCTAGGTGGGCCAAGGTGTCTCGTGAGGAGAATGCCAGGGATGGCATGAGTGCAGCACGTTCAACGCGAAGGTTCAATCCCTACCCGGCTCGGTCACACTCCATTCCTGTCCACGTTTCTGAGCCAAATATCCTGCATCTTTACAATCTTATTCACTCCTACTGGTTCTAGATATTTCTAGTCTTCAAGTTGGATACAACATGTGCTATCTCCAATACGGTTCAAATTCCAAATCACACATACTCGACCACCCAGCCTCCAAATATTCTGTAAGATTCTACTCATCATATTACGCATATTCGACGCCGGAACTTAGCCCAGACATTGACCGTTGATCATTAAACCCTTTATTTGTCTTTCTCAGAGATTGGCACGTGCAAACATGAGGCTGTCGCATGCGCATGGCTTGGGAATGTGTATCTTTCTGGGCCTCAACTCATTCACACCCGCCACGTAGCTCCCTTATCACCACCCGGCATACTCGTTTTATATCTTCTACGCTACTTATCTCTTAGACTATTCTAGATGGAACACGATCATAGTCAAACCCCACAGTTGACTGAAGATAGCCTGAAGAGCACCTCCACCACGCCTCTTTCGCGGGTAACCTTTGCAGAAACGCCCGATACTCAGCTTTCGGACATAGGGGAGCTGATCAACGGAGTCCGGCACTCAGTCGTCGAGCTCACACAAGCTTTCGAAAATCTTCCGGCCGGCCAGGGTCCGAATAACGTCCCTCCTGAGACCAAGGTGCAACGGATCCCTGTTGTCGAAGACTCGACAAAGCAGCTTCACGCTCTAAGAAAGCAACTTGTGGCTCAAGACAAGTGAGTGGCTTTCGCATGGCTGGATGCTGTCAGAAACGATACTCATCCTACTTGTCGACCATAGGACCCAGGATGGACATATCACCAAGATCAAAGAACTGATACGACAAGTCCTGATGGGGCAGATCACGGATCAGCTTCGGAAACATCTTCGGGAGATGATTCGTGAGCAGGTGCGTCGAATGTTGTTCAAGAGACTTTGTGTGTGACATGTTGTGACCGTCATCTGGTGTTGTCAGCTGGGAGAAACGATCCGGGAACGTGTTGCAGTCCAGGTGAGCTCAATGAGGTACACTATTCTCTGTCCTGTCAAACTGATGGCTTGCTTCTTCAGTTAGCGAATGAAGTTCCACCAGAACTAGCCACACGGATGTCGGTCCATAAGGGTCAGATGCGCGAAGTGAAACAAAGCCTTCATAATGCGTGAGTGGCGAGATGCGTGTCTTGCTGTCACCGCCTCATCATAAAACCCTTGACATAGCGAGGCTCGCCGTACGAACGCGATGATACGTTCGACCCACCTCTCCGACCCTCTTTCACCCCTCCTCAAAGCGGACGGCGAGTCGTGTGCCATATTCCCCGCGACTCTCGTCGAGCTCTTTGCGTTGCCTGGTACGTTATGCTGTCCTTAATCCGCGTGCATATACCTCTCGTTTACTCCACCACCATCCATTGCAATAGTTCCAGAAGTCCATGCGTTACTGGATGACTTCCAGATCCCTCGCATCAAAGAAGATCCTCGAGAAGTGGACTTAAATAAGTTCATGCAGTTTATAGGAGTACGTCGGTCCATTCGCTTCACCAAGTCTAATCCTATCCGATATTCATGGTGAGCGGCATGGCACAAAAACTTGCGAATTTTTTCAGGTCACTTTACAGATGGTTCCTGCCCCCTGGGCATCTGGGGCACCTCTCATTACCAGCTTATAATCTGAGCTGGTCTTTCTCGACCCAAGGGCTGGGTCGTAGAGTTTTGGTGCTTTCCTGCGTTTCGATATGGTTGTACAGTGACCTTGGAACTGGGTAATGGATGGATCTCAAAATGTACATGGGGTGGAGACCTGTTGAATCTCCAGTATAGTGGATGCTGTTACGATTCTCGCTGTCGTTTGTCATAGATGTGACCTGAAGACTTCTTCGTTATATATATTATCCCCAATGTGACGTGACTCGAGCCCAAAGTCAGAACACAATGTGCACGACTGAAGTATCTTGTGGAACGTGTGCGACTCGTTAAGCTTTAGGCGTTAGCCCAGCCTAGGGTATCGCTCCCCATGGACTGATCAGACTGATCCCTAACATAACAGACTAAGGGAGGACAGGCCCCTAAGTTTCGAAAGGCTAAAATAGACCCGGTATGATTGATTTGAACGTGTATGAAACTTAACCTCGGCGTAATCAAGTCGGAAACCATGAGGTGGTGCGCCGATTGGAATGTCCAAGGTAAAATGGACCCAGCAAGACTTGAACGTACATCAACTGCGCGGATTTACCCACAGCAAACCAAAAGGAGATGCTTTACTATTAAGCTACAGGTCATATATCCTACAATAATAATAATGGGCCCAAGATAAAGTTACGAAAGGCTAAAATAATTCATTTGAACGTGCATGAAACTTAACCACCCGTGACCAATGTGATCTTGAGGCTGTGGGCCTGGTGTGATCTGCGCCCGCCTCCGATGCTAAACAGAATCATGCCATCAAGTCGGAAACGATGAGGTGATGCCGACCGGAATGTCAAGGGTAAAATAGACCCGGCACGATTTGAACGTACATCAACTGCGCAGAGGTACTTTCCACGACAGACCCAAAGGAGATGTTTTACCATTAAGCTACAGGCCTGGAACAGATTATCTGCTCTACAATAATAATAATGGCAACTCAACCCGGCACTCCCACGCATTTTGCTACTGTACCGCTACTCTTGTATTGACTTGGTTCAGGTGAACACTACCATACCGACCAAGTCATTACTTGGAAAGAGTTCTATCCATGCGCTCCGGTCGTTCATTAGAAACCCAGACAGATTGATCCATCAGGCCCATAGCACACATATACCAAACAACGAGCTCCATTTTCCAAGTGGCGAGTTAGGCTCTGCACGATCTGAATGCATGTTAAGCGATTCCGATTCACAACGGTGCCGATAATTTGTTACATCAAGCTACGAGTCTGGCGTGCAACGTAGGCTGGTGTTGCTCCTCCGGCATTGGAAGAGGCAATGTGCATGGGGTAGCTGAAAGATGGATATACAGAGCCAAATGCGAATCGCTTTGACACTCTAACATTCCTCGAGGGATCCATTGTGCCACAGATCTCAGGATCTATCAGTCAATCCCAAAGCCTCAATGCTCTTAGTCAGTCCAGAACTCTATGTGCGCCCTCCAGGCTGTTGGCAGACGCCTAGTGACAGAGACCGGCATCTCGACGGTTGTCCTTGAGCGACACGCGGTTCAGCACGAATAATACTGCACATCAATCGCAGCCAAGACTGTTTAGAAGACACTCGGACGACATGGTCACTAGCCATTGTCATTGCGACCACTAACCACCCCCGAAGGTTGTGCACAGGAGCTGATACATGGGTCTCCTGTCATAAGCTATGACGAGTTACTGTAAGGCTTTTGCAGTTATTGGGCGCAATGGTACCGCAGGGAAAGCAGGAGACGGTGCGAATGCATATATATATATATATCATATATCAGGATGACCCGGCTGGAGGTGGTTGTGCGGAGGTTGTAGAGCTAGCTGAAGGCAGCGTGTAAACCTTCCCGCGACTGATAAACTGGTGGAGTTCGAAGCGCTTCCGAGCAGAGACTGGGGGACAGTTCCGTATCACAACCCGATCGCCAAGTCGCATAGCTGTACGTCCGATGGAGAGTGAGCGCATTACACGGGTAATCGGGATCGATTTGCGTACCATCGTTCGGATCGTGTGTCAGATACTTCTTTGTCCGCTCGATCATCTAAAAGAGGGAATTGCATTAGAAGTTGCGCCAATAAATGGATGTTTGGATCTCCTCACCTTTCGTGTTATCGGATGCTCGGTCTGCCGACTGACAGTCACGGTAGCCGTTTTCGCCATCTTTCCTATACAGGTCACAACGCCTTGGAGAGTCATTGGAGGCATGGCGGTTGAAGTGATGGGATAAAAAGTAGTAGTGCCAAAAACTCACCCCTGGGAAACCACAGTGCGGCCTTCCCCGGCTGCCTACTAACCTCGATTTTGGATGGCGGTGGCAAAGTCTTCCTCTAGGTCGTGACGACATAGTGCACTAGTCTCGCAATGCTGAAAAAATTGGGCCGGCGTTTATGTGACATGCGACAATGGCCATTTCACATAACGAGTCCAAAAGTGTTTGCCCCGTTACCGTTCTTCTGATAGTTATTCCAACTCGGAATACTATTGCTTCACCTGCCATTATCTTCAAATATCACATACGTGTGCTTAATCATCAACGAGATACTGGCTCTGGCTCTGGGAAGGGCTGGCAACCGCATACACCAATTGGGTGGTCATGCTTTCGCCAATTGCTGGATTAACCCAATCCGGATCAATGGCATGTCGAACGGCCCACTGGATCATTATTACACCCTTCGTAACTTGATTGAATGCCAGGCCATATGCCTTGTACCGATCGTCAAGGAGCGGTGCACGTGGCATCGAGTTCCAGCAGAAATCTCGGCTTTTGAGATCGTTTGAGACCGCGAGCTCCTTTACCCATACTGCAGGAGTAACCACACTCGTCAAGCGCCATGCATTTGGTTCTTTGGTCATTTTTACATTTGGTTGCCTCCGAAACGCGATTATGACAGTCATCCATTCCTTCCCTCCATGGTGACAATCCGTAGCGTGTATCTAGTTGGAATAAGTTTCACGAATTCTGCAAATGAGGAGCAATGGTCATAGTCGCGACACTTAGATACAAGACTGGGCGTTCTGTCGTGCAACCACTTTTCGTCTCGATGCTATTCTCGGTATTGCCCCCAAAGTATAAGGTCCCAAAGTTGTATGTGCCAAGTACGAAGGGGGCCGATGATGTTAAAGTGGGCTAGCATTCCTACCCCCGCTTAATGGCTGCTTATCAAGTGGCCGAATGGAAGAAACGTGTATGTTGGGCTGAGAGGAAAGAGGTCGACTCTAACTTTCTACGTAGGCGCCTTAAATCTTTTAACTCCCGCTGAAGTTTGGATCATGAACCTGTTATCCCCATTACTACACCCACCAGTATCTCCACGGGCCGGAATAATCCCGCCTTGTCTCCTTCCATGCTTCAGAGGCACGCTGATACCCTCATACAACACGCGTCATAAAGCCTCAATGCGTAATCAAGTTGTGGGGAAGTAGGACAGATCGGTACATGTGGTACGATAAATACTCATAGCTTTGCCTTGGGTGCGTTACCCTTTCTCATCTCGGCCAAGCGCATGTCAACGTCTGAGAACGAGTGCGGATTGTCAGCTTCGGAAATGTACATGGAAAAGATTAACTGTCACAGGCTTACAGTTGCCACGATAAAGAGCATCCTCCGGTACGGTTGTCAAATGCGTACCCAGAGAGCTTGCATCCACCATGGAAGGGACGACTTCAGTAAGCTTTTGCGCCCCAAGAAGACGCAAATTCATCCCGAATTCATCCTAAAGTAATTCCATGGATATCAGTGGGTAATTAGTGTCTTGAAACATGATGAATCACGCACATTCAGAATCTGGATTGCTTTCTCCACACCCTCCTGTCCATAAGCCGATGACGCATAGATGAAGGCTCTTCCGAGACCCACTGGGGGGTTGAGGAGAATATGGATTAGCAGGACTAGAGCTCAGTGTCACTGTAGATGATGACTAGGACTTGCCTGCAGTTGCACCCAACGCAATAGCTTTCAGAACATCGCTCGCCCTCCGTACACCGCCGTCGACGAAGATCTCAAATCTCTGCCCAGGGTTTCGGAACATACCCCGCTTCTTGAGTTCGTCGACTACCTCGACAAGTACCTCAATGCCGGATCGGGAAGTGTCGATTTGTCGGCCACCGTGGTTGCTGAGTACGATCCCTTCACAGCCATGTTCGTATGCCAACACTGCGTCCTAACACCAGACGAATAAAATGATTGTCAGGTGTCGTGTTAAGAAGGAAAATTAGATATAACTGAGAGAAGACCTACCTCCCAGCATTGCACCCCCTTCAAAATGAGCGGCACTGAACAATCACCGCGGGCTCGGTTAGTTTAACGAAGCCACCAATTCAGTTGCCACTGACTGTTTGTAATACTCCTAAACCATGGAATGTCCTTCCATGACAGGCCAGGATCGATGAAAGAGCTGATAGCTCGTGCGGCGCCTTGATTTCGGTCAACTTTTGTCTTACTCTCCTTTTGGACAGCTGACCCTTCATCTTCGAATTTCATTCGCATATCCTAAATTCGCCGAGCGTAACAAGGTCATTCAGGCAAAAGACATCAATGCTAAACTGAGAGGCTAGGCGTTCCACTCACCTTCTCTCTGCGGCCCAACTGCGGAGCATCAACGGTTATGAAGAGGGCCTTGACGCCTCGCTGCTCGGCGCGCTGCACAATACGCTTTGTCTTTTCTCGATCTTTGTTAACGTACCTAGAGGGAAGAGGGACAAGATTAGCAGGCCGAGCGTGCAGCAGACAAGGTTTCTTACAGTTGCATGAATTGAACTTGGCCGGGTACCGCCGCGTCCATCATTTCGTCAAATGAACAAGACGCGAGGGTCGGAATCTGTGAGGGGATGTTAGGGAAAAGATCTCTCCTGTCGAAGACCCAGTATGCAAGAATCCTACCATCTGGATCACGCTGTGCTTGCCAGCTGCCTTCACTAGATTAATTTCGCCATCCGGATGGCCTAGCTTCCCAAGGGCTGTCGCTGACATATAGATTGGTAGTGAGGTTTTGTGACCCAATATGGTCGTTGACCTGTGGATTGAAGCATGTATGAGAAGAAGGCGATGATTAGGTGTGTGTATACCATGTTCACCAGTCCACATTCGTGACATCTCGCAGAACCCGTGGACGAAACCATATCCTGATCGATCGTGAGGGATCAGCTGGTTGAGATGCACGACGAAGACATATGGCCAACCTTTGAAATGCAGCACGGTTCTCTCGATGCGTAATCTCGTCGTCGGCTGCTGAAGAGTAGTATGCCCATGCCTTATCAGTGAGGGTCGATTTGGCGACGGCCTGTAAAATGAGCAGAAACGAATACGCGAGATTAAATATGTGGCGTCGAAATCAGCGTGCGGGAGTGGACGTACTTCAAAATCATGGAGATTGAGACATTCTTCCAGATTTGGTCTGGACCGAAGTCGTTCTTCCTGCTGCTTCACCGCCAAAGTGACCTCCTTTGCGACTTGCTTGACTGTCTTAGGATCAACGGGTCCTAGACTTAGAAAGGAGAGGGAGCAACCGAGATGAATCCGGCTTCCGGTACATGCCGCTTTACGCGATACCGACGCTCACTGCTTTTCTGGGGGAAGGTTGCTTGTTATAGCGTCCGGGGGATGTATCTGCAAGAGGAGGATGAGCATAGTTACACATGAAGCATACTGGATACTGACTGGTTCGTATTCCTCTCTAATTTGGTGGTAGGGAACCTGTTAATATCCGTTCAACCTACAATCAATGAAGCCGAACAATCCTCACGTCGCATCTTTGCCTCCGTATTTGAGTATAATCTTACTTCCACCTAGCCAGAAGTAATAATAAGCCGCAGTACGTGATAGATGTAGGTTGAGAACTCGCCAGGATGATCGTCGAGGAACTCGGTCACATCGTAGACATTTCCGTGCACAATGATCCAGCAACTTTCCCTGGTATTG